CTAAACTCACATCCTCCTCCAGAGCCCATACTGTGAAACACCTGTCTATTCCATATCATGCAAATGCTTTAGAAATGGGGATCAGCAAAGTATGACCTATGGGTCAAATCTGGCCTATCACTTGGTTTTGTAAATAAATTTTTATTGGAATAGACCATGCTCTTTCATTTCTGTTTTGTCTATTGATACTTCCATGCTACTAAGGCAAAATTAAATACTTGCAACAGAGAATAGAACCCATAGCCTGAAATATTTCTCATCTGGCTCCAGACAGGAAAACTTGCTGACCTGTGCTTCAGACCACAAGCACTTTGCTCTCAATTGTCTTTGTTTAATATACCCCTCCATCACTCTGGACATATCCAGTGCCTAGGTTCCAGAAAAGAACAAGTCATAATAGTTGTAGCTCTTGACACATTATTAGAAAATGTTTTCAGAAACCAGTTCTTTAGAATTTTCAAAATGAATCTCAGTAAATGAGAACATTGTCTGTTATTGTCATCTAAAAAAGGAAAAGACAATTGAGGTTCCAAGTTCACTATACTGAGAAAAGATTGTCTATAGAGACAGTCTGTTCAACCTCATCCATCCTGGCTGTGACATTTCCTGGCTTTGTGATCTTGAGCAGGTCACCTAACCTCTGTGTGTTCCAGTTCAAAAATGGAGATGACATTACACCTAACTCACAGGAGTATTATAACCATTCAATGAGTTAATATATACAATTTAGGGATCAGGAACTGACTCCTATAAGGTATTAGTTGTTATTCCTGTTCTTCAGATTCTTCAAAAGACTGATTATTTTCAGATAAGCAGAATGGTAAAATTGAGACCTGAATATAGTGGGGAAATCTTCAATGAGCAAATAGCCTGTGGAATTGATGCCTATTAAATATTATTTTACATTTGTTCTATATAGAGACTTCTATGAAACTAACTGAATAAAATGTCAATACCCTCTGTCAGCTTAATAAACAATATAAGACTTATAACATTTGAGCAAGAAAATAAAGATCTCAAATGCAACATATAGTCCATCTTCCCAGAAGCCTATGTAAACAGATCATAGGAGCCATGCCACTAACAACCTGTGGTTTCTCCTAAAGCATCAGAACATCTTAAATGCAAAAGGTAGTGTCTCCTATTCTTTTGAGATTGGTGTCTGGTGGTACCCAGCTCTGATCTATATGCTGACAGTTCCTAGACAAGTTAATTACTTCAGATGTAATAATAATAAATGGCTTAAAGAGTTAGTGGGAATGATAATTATTATATGACAGCTCTAGAAAAAGAATTATTGTTATTTATAATATACAGAAACAAGGAAAGATTCATACTTATTAGAAGTAATTGAAATCATGAGCCTCAAAGCCACACTATCTTGGATTCAAAGTCAGCCTTCATCCATTTTACTGAATATGACCTTGAGCAATTTACATAATATCTGGACCTTTGTCTACTTAGACATAAAATAACAATACTAAAAGAACCAACATCAAGCACGTAGTCATACAATGACAAACATTTACTGACTAGCTACTATGTGACAACCACATATGTTTTGAGCATAGCAAAATAGGTAAATAAACACCTGCTCTCATGAGCTTTCATTCTACTATTAAGAACCCTTTAGTAAAGGGTGAAGTACATTAAGTTTTCAAACAATGTTAGATATTATTACCATTAAAGGTTGATGATGATAATGATGATGTTGTTGAGGTCAGATAAGTGTCTCATTATGAATTTGGTAGTAATGCTGAATGTCTGTATGTGGGGAAGTATTTCTGGTTTGTGTCTCTAACATGTGTTTCCCATGTTGCTCATGTCCCATGAGTTATCTGGACTGTGATTTGCAGTTCTTGATTGGGGGTCTTTTTTATTAAGACTTACTGATGCCCTAAAATGTTATATTGCTTGAAAAATTGAAAATCAGTGCCTGACTGAGATATTTGCAGAATTATCAGGAAAGGTCATATGCAGAATATATATATATGTATACATGTATATATATATATACATTTGTAGAATATGTATATATAGTATATATAGATATATTTATGTATATTTAATTATATATAATTTTATAATATATATATAGGAACTGTCAGCAAATAGATCAGAGCTGGGTACCACCAGACACCAGTCTCAGAAGACTAGGAGACCCTACTCTTTGCAGTTAAGATGCTCTGATGCTGTAGGAGAAACCACAGGGTGTTAGTGGCATGGATCCTATGATCTGTTTACATAGGATTCTGGGAAGATGAACTATATGTTGTATTTGAGATCTTTATTTTCTTGCTCAAATGTTATATAAAATATATGTGTAAGGCCAAATATTCTGACAATGAAATAATGAAGAAGGAAAAGTAATTTGCACCAACATTCCTATGGCACCTCAAACTTCAAAAGTTATTGCCACAGTGTGTGATTAAGTGCTTAGTTTAGATAGGCAGCAAATTTTTGAATGAACTGCATGAACATAAAAATGTGTGTTATAATTTTTCTATTTTGTCATTAGTTAATCTTTTACTGTGTCTAATTTATAAATTTAATCTCATTATCAGTATGTATTGATAGGAGAAAACACTGTAGATGTAGTTTGTCACTGTCCATGGATTATGCATCCAGTGGTGTTCTTGAAGTATACCCCTCACAGATAAGAGGGAGGGATACTTTTTTAAATTGGTTCATTATATTTTTCCATAGTAGTTGGATTCATTATTCTGTATTTGTAAATATGTACAAAATTATTTGCTCAATCTCCTTCTCTAGTACCTTCTCTTCCTTTTCCCTTCTCTTCTATCCCCCCCATGATTCACATTCTCTCTTCTATCATTTTTATTATTTTAATTAGTACATTATTATAATTTATATGTAAATATATGTATATGTATGTATGATTCATTGTGGTATATTTGTACATGGACACAACATCATTGGGTAGCTTTTGTTGCCCAGTACTTCCATACCCACCCCTCGCCTTCCTCCCTCTGCATCGCCTTCCTCTAATCTATTAATTTCCCTTCTATTTTTATGAAATACATGGAGGGCTACTTTATGTATGTATGTATGTGTGTGTGTGCATGCACAAGCATATGTTAGACATTAGATAAGGAATCAGGAAATCAGTCCCTGTGCAGTGGAAATAGAAGTCATCATGGTACAGAGAAGTCCACAAAGTGGAAGGAAGGGGAATTGGAGAAAAATATTTGCAAACTGATTGTCTACTAGCAGGTTTCTGTTTTTCCCTCAACTTCTACAAATAGCTCCCCTCACAAAAGTCATTTTGGAAACTTATCTTTCAAAGTTCGTAAAGACATCAATGATTTTAGTTATCTTCACTTAAAGAGGGTAATTTATCATCTAGTCAAGTGTGCATGTGTCTGCCAGGGAAGCTGTGCACCAACATACATCATCCTCAGTAGCTTCAAGGATCTGGTTTGCTTTCTTGTATGTATTTAAATATAGAATTCATTTCAATCTGACATTTTTACCTCTCATCATATTTTTCTTCTAATTAAGTTCCATAAATGTATCCTCTACCCAGTTTGAGCTATAATAAATTTTTTCTTGAATTGGCCTTCTGAAAGTCACAAACCAACATTGTGATGAATTGCAAAATGAATAATTTTCTTTCCACTGTGTTTATTTTCAGCAGTAAAATATTACAAAAAATGAGACAGTGTTTCACTAGAAAGAAGGCCTTTCCCATAGCGATTGCAGTGCTGTGAACTTAACAGAGATACTCCTTGAATTCCAAAACCATATTGGTCTAATCCAAGGAAATGACTTTTCATTTCACAACCGGGGACTTAATGATGTTAGTAGAAGAGAGAGATAATGAAAAAAGTTTTGCTCTCATGTAAGCCCTAGAGTTACACAGTTATGGACCAGAGCCATAATTTCTTTCAACCTAAAAATCTATATTGTAGAAGAAAAATAACAAGGCCATTCATAGAATGGATTATAGGAAAAAAGAATATGTGATTGCTATTTTCTAAAGTCATCATTTGTTTCCTTGTATTATCTAGGGAAGTACATGTTTTCCATCTTTGAGTTCAAATGGCCCAACTGAAATTGAACCATTTGTTGGTAATATTTAGGCTGGTATTTTAATAGGTGCTTAACATTGGACACATTTGTTCCCATTACATTGTAAGGTGTAGATGGAACTCTATATAAATAAAATTAAAGCATTGCAGTGGATAAAATATCAGGCATTAACCTTGTAGATTCTTGATTCTAGAATAGTTTAGCTTCAATATTTAAGTAGTTATGATGATCAGAGCCTGGTTCAAATAATAGTGCTTAATGTGTTAATCATTAATTTTGCATATATCTTTCTCATTTCCCTCTATGCCTTTGTAGAATGGGAAGTGCTTTATGCATCTTGAATACATTACTGTAATTTATAGTACTGTGCATTGACTGAAGTCAGTTAAAGTGGTGTGTTAGCACAGAATTTGTGCTCCTTCACTTTGTATAGATAGTGGGCCACAGAGTTAATGTTTCATTTGTAGTATTTATTATAGAACTTTGGTAAAGTGTTTGTGATTCATGATCTTGTCCTGGATATTGCCTGATTTAAGACAAACTATCATTGGAACAGAATTTTGATTGTTTATAGAAAGCATGGCCACTGGTCCAACTATTCTAACACCAACATATCACTGGTGTTACATTTCTTCTTTAAAAGAAAAAATATATATATAATTATGGTTTTAAAGCCAGAATTATACATGAACAGTCTTCTAAACCAACTACTTCATTTGGCAAATGAGGAATCTGAGGTTCAGTGAGGTTATTGCATTGATGGCTGTCAGAAGCTCTTCTTGTTAGAGCTACAGTAGATGTGGAATGGGCTTCCTCTGACTTCTGGGACAGCACTGGGAGCCACCCTGCCTCGATGAAAAAGAACCATCACTGCCATTTCATGTGCTCACATTCTGAAACCATTTGCCCTTATCGCCCCCTGACACTTCTTCTCTCTCCCCATGCAGCATCATCATCCACCCCTGCAAAGACATTTTAGTCTCCTGCAGTGAGGATCGCCTCTGGAAGGTGGTGGGCCTCCCAAAAGGCAATGTACTTCTCACAGGATTCGGCCACACTGACTGGCTTTCAGACTGCAGCCTCCATCCCAGGTCAGTGCACATAACCCCAGGAATAGCCTAATTCCTACAGGAAATGCTCTTGTTTACCGTTTCCTCACTCCGCTGGCCTTGACTATGACTTTTCTCTCTGCAACTTTATACCTTCCATAGAATTTAGAAACATGTAAATAATTGTACCTTTGACTTTTGTTATATTGACTTTAGATTGATTGCTTTTGATATTTGGTACATGTAAGTCCACATGCTGATGCATTTAACAAGAGTAATAAGCTTCTCAGGGCAAGCATTATTAATGCTCCTTATGCTCACGAGTCCTGAAAAGGCATCTGGATTTCCAGTCAATAATGCATGCCAGTGTTTACTTTGCCTCTGCTAATTTTGCAGGTTTTCCTTTTAGAATTAAGTCATCTACCAGAAAAGATCAGAGGGCAGTGATCAATTTCTTTAAAATTTCAAGGACACTCAAGATATTTAAGAGAGTAAAGCAGTTCTGAAAACATTGAGCTCTGTAATTTTTAGAGTGCACTGAAATTTTGTACCCCAAAGATAAAAGGCAGAAGAAAGGACATTGTAAACACAGAGATGCAAGGCTTCTGGTGGACTGAAAGGTCCATCCACAGTTTCTGTGGTCAGCTCCTACCACCAATCCCATTTTCTGTTTTTCTTAATATTTTTAAACATTCTTGAGTCCATCTGTTGCTAACATCTCTCTAAACTACTCCTGGACAACTGTAGTTCTTGATGCAGTTTCTAAACTACACCATTTGGGAATTTTGTTCTTAGGAGGACTCTTTATTCATTTTCATGAAATTGCTTTTTCTTTATCCATCTTTGTTTTATCTTTGGTATGAATGTCAGTGAAATTAGATTGGAAAAAAATAAACTTATAGAGAAATTTATAAGTTAATGACAAGACTGAACTAAACAGATTTTTTAATTTTAATTTTTAAAACTCTTCTCAAAATTTAATTTATCCTTAGTACTAGATTTTGAACTTAATTTATGAACATGAAGAGAATCCCACATCTGATAAGCAGAGCTGTGACACCCTCTCACCTCTGAGAAACATGAAGCCCATCTTGCAAGCAGAGACAACACAATTAGAAGTGTAGTCTATCACTTATATAGCTACTGGGCATACTAATCAGATTTTGATAATGCCCTGTTACCATGACAGCCAGTGACTCAGAAATTTTCTCATTAGTGCTTGACCAGCAATGGTCCTTTTAATAGATCTTCTGTTTCCCCTCTTAATTACTGAGAGTAAAATGAGGTGAGATACACCATTATTCACTTATACTATGAATTTACTTTTAGTGCTTTCTCAGGGCAGAATTGTAGTAAATGTTCCTACCCTGTTAGTTTTTTTTTTTTCTTTTCAGTGCACAGAAAAAGTAATGGGAGAAAATAGATTTAACCATAAGCAGTTTTAAGTGATACATATTGAATAACAAATGTTCTTTTTGGAAAATTATTGAAAAAGAATCAGTGATTATTAGAAACAACAAAAATAACCTCTTTTTGAGTTGAGGTGGAAATAAATTCTGATTTTGTTTTATAATGCTTAATGATTGCAAGTTATCAATGAAGAATATATGCATATGAATTATGTGTACATATGTATAATATTAACATCTTAAAAGTTGCTTAATTCACACTTTCTGAAAATTAAATTTGCAACATTTTATTTTTACTATGGGATATATAATTTAGTCAGTAAAAAAATAGTTCATTATTAGAAATAAATTTTTCTACCTTCACCTATAATTTAAAAATCTAACAAAGATTTGATTTAAAAATTATATTTTAATCTGAATTTAATCTGGTTAATTGTAGACTTCCTCACAATCAAATTACAGGATAAGGTAGATTTTGCTCAATAGAAAAAGGCCTCTGGTGGACATAGTATATACCAACATTTGCTTACCTCCTATGTTCTTCCCATCGGAAAAATAAACGCATATATTTTCTTTATTTTTAATTTCTACTGTTCCTAGTAGAGTGTCTCTATAACTCCCAGCTGGCTCCTGTCTGATTTTGACAGTAGCCAGAATTACAGTCATTGTCTCTTCTGCCACAGTAACATCCCCCCAATTGTGGGAGGCGTTCAGGAGAGTCAATCCTACTTGATATGACTGGCCCAAATCAGTCTTCATTGTCCTGTTTCACTTGCGATAGTAAATATCTTAAATGCATAAACAACAAATACAACAGCCATAACAATGTCAACATCAGGCAAAGAAGATTGACAGGTAAAAAATAGAGAAGATCTGTCACATGAAGATTCAGATAATATGGTCTTTAAATGCATGAAGCAAAAGATCTCATACAAAACCATAATCATTAGGATTGAAGTTGTTGAAATTTCTCTCTCAGTATTTCATCAGTGAAATAAGATTGAACTCTACTTCATTGAGAGCATATGGATAGATACTTCAAGATCATTTGTGGTTTTATTTGTCATTACTTGTTTTTGGATATACATGAGCATAGGGTATATTTTCACATATTATACACATATGGGATGTAACCCATTATAATTTTGATCTCATTCTTGTGGTTGAACGTGTTGTGAGTTACAATGGTCATGTATTCATATGTGAACATAGGAAATTTATGTCTGATTCATTCTACTGTCTTTCCTATTCTTACCTCCCCTCTCCCTTCATTCTACTTTGTCTAATCCCATGAATTTCTATACTTCCCCTCTCCACCCTCCCTTGTTATGTGTTAGCATCCACATATCAGAGAGAACATTTGACCTTTGGTTTTTGGGGACTGGCTTATTTCACTTAGTAGGATATTTTCCAGTGTGTGCGCGCACACACATGTATCTCACATTTTCTTCATCTGTTCATCTGTTGAAGGGCACCTAGGTTGGTTCCATCTCTTAGTTATTGAGGAATAAGCCAACAATTGGGATAACTGGGTCAAATGGTGATTCCATTTCGAGTTTTCTAAGAAATCTTCCTACTGCTTTCCAGAGTGGTTTCACCAATTTACAGTCCCAACAGCAATATATGAATGAACCTTTTCCCCCACATCCTCACCAACATTTGTTACTTGTATTCTTGAGAATAGCCATTTTGACTGAAGTGAGATTGAATCTCAGTGTAGTTTTAATTTGCATTTCTCTAAATGCTAGGGATGTTGAACATTTTTTCATGTTCTATTAATGGTTTGTTAACCATTCATATTTCTTGTTCTGTGAAGTAACTGTTCAGTTCCTTTGCTGAACTATTGATTGAGTCATTTGTTTTTTTAGGAGTTATGATTTTTGAGTTTTTTGTATAGTGGGGAGATTAATGCTCTATCTGAGGAGCAGGTGATAAAGATTTTCTCCCATTCTGTAGGCTCTCCCCTCACATTCTTGATTGTTTCCTTTGAAGTGAAGAAACTTTTTAGTTTGATGCTATCAAACTAAAATGACATATAGAATAACATATAGATTGATTCTTAATTGCCCCTAAACTGAAATGATGGAGAGTTGGGCCTACTTTTTCTTCTAGTAGGCACGGGGTCTCTGGTCTAATACCTAGGTCCTTGATCCAGTTTGAGATGAGTTTTGTACAAGGTGAGGGAGAGGGGTTTAATTTCATTTTGCTACACATGGATTTCTAGTTTTCCCAGCACCATTTGTTGCCAAGGCTATCTTTTCTCCAATGTACGTTTATGGCCCCTTTGTCTAGCATGGGATAACCATATTTATGTGGGTATGTATCTTTGTCTTTTATTCTGTTCCACTGATGTACAGTTCTGTTTTTGTGCCAATATCATGCTTTGCATTATGAGGTAAGTCTTTTAGAGACAGCATATTGTTGGGTTCTTTTTTAATCTAATCTTCTAGTCTTTGTCTTTTGATTAATGAGTTTAGGCCATTTATGTTCTGTGTTATTATTGAGATATGCTTTTTATTCCCTGTCATTTTGATTTATTTCTTGTTTTTAATTTTAGTTAGTTTCTCCTTTGATTGACTATTATAGTGTAGTTCCTCCCTTTGCTGGTTTTCACTTTCATTTTTCATTTCTTCTTCATGAAGTATTTTATTGAGTATGTTTTGTAGTGCAGGCTTTCCAGTTTTGAATTATTTTAACTTTTGTTTATCATGGAAGGTTTTTTTTATAGTTAATTCTGAAGCTTAATTTTTCTGTATATAGTATTCTTGTCTGGTGTCCATTTTCTTTCAGAACATGATATATATTATTCCAACACCTTCTAGCTTTGGGCTCTGGGATTAGAAATCATGTGAGATTCTTATTGGTTTTACTATAAAGGTGGTGACCTTTTTTTTTTCCTGGCAGCCTTTAAAATTGTATCCTTATTCTATATGTTAGGCATTTTCATAATAATGTGCCTTGGAGTGGGTCTGTTGTAATTTTATTTACTTGGGGTTTTGTAAGCCTCTTGTATTTGGTTTTCCAATTCATTCTTAAGGTATGAGAAATTTTCTGATAATATTTCATTGAAAAAGATTGTTCATTCCTTTGATTTGTATCTCTGAGCCTACATCCATCCTGATAAATCTTAAATTTGGTCTTTTCATGTTAGCCTATATTCTTTAGAAGTTCTGTTCATGGCTCTTTAACATCTTTTCCCCATGATCACATTTATTTTCTAGATTATATATTTTGTCTTCATTGCCTGAAACTTTTGTCTTTCAAGTGTTCTAACCCATAGTGATACTTTCCATTGAGTTTTTATTTTGGTTTATTGATTCCTTTCATTTCAAGGAGTTCCAACTGATCCTTCTTCAGGAACGCTATCTCTTTGTTGAAAGGATCTTTCACTACTTGTATATTCTCTCTGATTTTATTTCTTACGTTATAATTTCCTTTGTAGATCAGTTTTAACATGAACTTTCTGAATTCTATCTCTGAAATTTTCTCCACTATGGTGTCAAAGGAGTCTAATTTGAAGTAGTCTGGAATATTTGGAATGGTTTGTTTCCTTGCTTTTTCATATTGTTTGTGTTTCTACCCATCTATCTGGATGGGGGTTAAGGCTTCTAATTTTCTTTCTTTCTAGATTAG